GTTTTTTTTTTTTTTGTTTGTTTTTTTTTTTTTTTTTTTTTTTTTTTTAATGAAGGTCATGTTTATTTCACTTATTTAAATTTAAAATTTGAGTTTTATTACAGTAAAAAATTCTCAGAAATAATCACATTTAATTTTTTACTATAGTAAAAAATTATCACATAAAGTCACTTCTCAACTCAAATCAACGAACTAAATAAGCCTTAAATTTTGACACATCGTGAATTGTTTAAATATTTTTAATATTTTATTTCTATTCGTGTGGTTAGCTATTTAAATTTAGATGACATGATAAATAAATAATTGAGAGACAACCACTAAAATAAGAAAATAGAGACAACAGATTTGGACTAGTTTAATTCACAGGTTTAAATTTAAGTGGTTTTGAACCTTAAGGGTCTGTTTGGTATGACGGTTCAAACTATAGTGGTTTAAACCATAATAGATTTTAAATTACATGGTTTGAACTTGAGGTTCAAACTATGAATTTTTGGGTTTGAACCATGTGCAGTTTGAACTTGGGGTTCAAACCAATTGAAACCAAGAGAGAAGAGGTTTTATTTTTGGGGGTTCAAAAGGGTTAAAACATCACATTATAATTTAAATCTTGAATCTTTTATTTCCAAACTAAGCACTAATTTTATTACGCCGGATTCAAATCAGTTTTTATTTACTACTTTTTATTTTTTATAAATAAACACTGATTTAAATTAGAACCATGGTTCAAACGGTGAGAATCTCACCGTCATAAAAAATGGAGCCTTTAATTGTTTGAATTGAATATTTATTGTTGTATCGCTGCTGAGCTTATCAAGCCGGAGCTTGTTGTGATCTTTATTATGTGTCCTCTCAAAATCAATTAGGAGTATTCAGAAAGTTTTCTTATTCAAGCCAGAATGAAGATAAAAGACTACTTTCGAGGTTAATGGATCAAAGATAAATCCCCAATCTAGATCAATATTGTTTTGTATTTCAACTTAAAAAAATGGGTTAAAAGGCTAATTTGACCATTAGTAAATACGTATTATGTATACACTTATTTATTTATTTATTTATTTTATTTTTTCAGTGAGTAAAAACGACGCTATAATAGCTATAACTCTAACTCTTACATTGAGGATGAACCGTTCTTTTACCTCATGTATCCACTTAGTCTTTACTTTCTATTTTTACTTTTCAGCATGAATGAGATAAGTTACAATAAGGTTATACAATAGTTCATGCTATTGGTAAGTTACAATAAAGTTATGCATTCAGTATTGACATTTTTGAACCCAAACTTCATTAGATTTTATTAGTTGTGCATGTTAGTTATTTTAAGTATGATTGCAATTTATTTTGACGTAGAGAATTGTATACTACTAATAGTTATTATAGACATGATTGCAAGTTTAGATTAGTGGTAATTTTATATCTATTTTAATAATGAGGTTTTAAAGTCATATTCTTTTGTCCCATAAATCTTACTATTTATCATGAAATCTCTTCTGAAATTTTAGAATTAACAACATGGTATGAAAATTTTCTGCTATTAGATTTTTATAAAATTTGGTCAAATTTGCACATTAATTACTTGACTGCAACATAGTTTGTTAAAACATTATGTTACAAAACATGTGTTAAAAAACTTCTATTGGATAATGTGAGTTTCTGAACTATCAGATTTCAATGAAATTTCCTAAATTTTGCATACTATTTGAAAACAACATAGTTTTGTTAAAACTTTTATGTTACAAAACATGTGTTATCTATACGTTATAAAAATATGTTGAGATCAGTATTCTGAACTATTTAAAGTTATATCATAAATATTCATAAAATAACTATTTCAAGACACAAATATAATTCATTAAAATGGATTCAAATCACAAATCACTTATTAAAATGTCTCAATTAGTGTCTAACTAATTATACTATGACACATCATTGAATGACTCAATATTAAAGCATGAAAAAGTAAATTAAAAAACATTTCAAATATTATAAATGATGTGACATAATGGAAGAATTATTCAATAGATTGGATGTAGTCATCATACTTACGTGGTATACCAACCAATAAAAAGTGTTAATATTGATATTTTTTTATGTCAACTTTATACAATTAAATTTCTCTTTCCTAGCGTGTTTTACATTGTGTAGTATAAATCACCTTAAATACTATACTTAAATCTCTATATAATTTTTTTTTCTAGATCAAATCTCTTATATAATTAACTGCAAATAATGTAACTTTTAATTTAAAAAAAAATTACTACGTATAGATTAGTTTGAGGAAGTCAATCCACCCTATTGAACTGTTTTAATTAAACAAATAATTTGTAAGAGTTCAAAACAATGTACAATGATCCGTACGTTTTGAGTTCCATTTAAACTTCCGTAGAAAAACTTTAATGGATTCCCTATAAAGATGTTTTTTCCTATTTTTTTCAATGCAAAATCCTCTTATAAATTAACTCTTTTATTCTTGCAAAATACAATTTTTATTTTGAAAAAGAAAAGGTGGTGCAGAAAACAACAAGAAATATGTTCATGTACAACTACCCACCGAGAACCGTGATACAGTGGTAAGAACATTTTTGTTAGGTTTTTTTTTTTTTTTTTTTTTTTTTTTTGTTTTTTTTTTTTTTTTTTTTTTTTTTTTAGAGAAAGAAGAAAATAGGTTAAGATTTGAGATAAATTAAAATTAATAGGCTAATAGTTTATATAAGTTAATATATATGCTAAATTACTATTTTTATCTATAACTTGTCTGGTTATGAACCATAACTTAACAAGTTATTGTCCATAATTCACAGTTTTTATCCATAACTTGTCTGGTTATGAACCATAACTTGAAAAGTTTGTCTATAACTTATAACCATAACTTGACAAGTTATGACATATTAATTTCTATAACTAAAAATTGACCTATATACTTTCTTAAACTTTTCATATTAGCGTATTTTCTACCATTTTTTTTTTGTCTATTCTTCCACTCGTACGTTGCTATTCTGTTTAGGAAATTAAATGGGTCTCTGTAGGCCTTAGAGAACGATGGAGAGTGAAAATTGATTGAATTATTAATGAGAAATTAGTTTAGACTCTTTTTATATACTTAGAAGGTGTTTAGTATGAAAATTTACATCATAATTGATAATTTATTAGTGTTTTTTTTATAAAAAATATACATAAATTAAAAATAATTTTAAATTTATAAATCAAACATCTGCTGACGTTTAATAAAAGAATTCATACTATAATTTAAATTATGGTTCATAATTCATTATAATATTTTTTTTTATAAAAAATACACATAAATTAAAAATAATTATAATTTTATAATTCTAATTCATAAATTAAAAGTCTAATAATTCTTGAGAAGAGGTTAGAAAACATGAATTGCACCACTATCATTTTTTTTAGTAGAAAAAAAAATGTTCCCTCTACACGTGGGTCCCACTCAGAATTAAATAGGTCTACAATGAGAAAGAGAGAGAGAGAGATCGCAATAATGGTGGATGAGGACATACAGGTGGGGGCTGGGGTTAAGCTTGACTCAGATGTTCGTCCCGTACGAGACACAGCACTCCCCTTCTCTCCCCTCCCCTCCCCTCCCCACCCCACACGTACGAAACTCCACCCACACGTGCGCTTTTTCCTTGCATTTACCTGAACACTCCCTCTTCTTTTCCCATTTTTACACTCTCACCCCTCTCTCTTACGCCCCCGCCCAAAAAACAGGAACAGTGAAAACACTCTCTCCCCAGTGGTACCCTCGTAAATAAGTCCCCTCGTGACGGGCAAATTCCACTCCCTCGCAATTATTCACCGCCCCAAAACCGGGTCCAGATTCTGGAGTATCGCCAAACAATAAAACAAAAATCAAAATTCGAAAACCATAAAACAGTAATAAAATTAAAAAAAAAAAAACTTTTACTGGTTACTTATAAGCTGTTAAATATATATTAAATTTATTAAAAATAAATTAAATTAAAAAAATAATACAAATTGACGAATAAAGAATAGAAAATAATAGAAAATATGTTAATATGTAAACTTTAAAAAAATATATAGGTTAATTTTTAATTATAAAACTTAATAGGTCATAACTTGTTAAGTTATGATTCATAATTAGATAAGTTATGGATAAATTTGTCAAGTTATGATTCATAGTCAGACAAGTTATGGATAAAAATTGTGAATAACTTATCAAGTTATGGTTTATAACCAGACAAGTTATGGATGAAAACAATAATTTGGTCTATTTATTAACTTATGTAAATTATTGGCCTATTAATTTTAATTCATCTCAAGTCTTAACATATTTTTCTCTTTTTCCCATAAAGAATTTCTAAAGTATAAGGCCTCGTTCATTTCACCGATTCAAGTTTTCAGTTTTAGATTTTTACAGTAAAAAACTCTCAGAAAATGTCACATCTAACTTTTTTTACTATAGTGAAAAACTCTAAAAAAATGTCACATCTCAATTCAAATTGAAAATTTAAATCTGTAAAGTGAACGAGACCATACCATAAAACTTTTTTAAAAAAATAAAAAAACGAAAAAGGAAAACCCCCCTCTCTCTCAAAAGTCTATTTTTTGGTCTGTGTTTTTGACTTGGACTCACCCCCCACACGTTCACAAGTGAAAACGGCAATACTATAATAATAATAATCAAGTATCACTCTCTCTCTCTCTTAAAGAAATTCTCCAGTTTCCTTCTTTCTTTAATTCTTCTTATACAGAGAAATGTGTTTTGCTCATGATCTCTTTTTTTCACTTTCTTTTATTTAATAATCATCCCATCTTCTTTCTTTTATTTCCACAAACAGGCCCCTCTCTTCCCAACTAATTCCCCTCTGTGTTTTAGTCTGTCTGAAGTCGTACTTGCGGCCGTCCACGCTATCGTGCGCCGGCGATGGGCGTACGGCGCCACCGCCGCCACTGCTTCCATTTCCGCTTCTGCCATCGCTTCCTCATCACCGCCCTCACTTTCCTCTTATTCGCCTCCCAAATCAGTAAGTTAATTTTTTTTTTTAAAAGAAAAAACTAAGCCAGTACGTCGCCATTTTATGTCTGTAAACCGGGGTTGTTTGTGTATTTATTTCTCTATTTTCGTTTCAGGTGGGAAAGAGAGAGTGACGTCACTGGACCGGGTTTTCGCGGTGCAGAAGAGGCTCGCCGGGCCGGGTTCGTCGCCGCCGGCGTGCAGATCGAAGTGCGGGAGGTGCTCGCCGTGTAAACCGGTTCACGTGCCGATCCAACCCGGTCTGAGCATTCCTCTCGAGTACTACCCGGAGGCGTGGCGGTGCAAGTGCGGGAACAAGCTCTTCATGCCTTGAAAACGACGTCGCTTCCCGGCTAAAAGCTAAGCTATGCTAATTTTACGGTCAAGAAATCGGACGAGAGAGTTTTTTTTATTTTTTATTTTTAACCTTTTTGCTGTTTCTTCTTCTTCTTCTTCTTCTTCTTCTTCTCCTTCAGTTTGTTTGTTGATGAGTAATTAATTAGTTAATTAAGCATTTTTAGTAGTAATTAGTGATGATGAACTGCATTATATACGTGGTTATTTTGTAATTTCACTCCTATCATGTTTATATGATTTTTGATTAATATAATTGAACGTGGGGGACAAGAGAGCTTTGGAAATGTAAGATTTTTAATTTAGAGGTTAGATTATCGGGATGGATTTCTCTCTCTCTCTCTCTCTGTTTATGATTATTTTTTCTTTTTGTTGGTAGAATAATTAATTAACTTGCTTTATGGGACAATAGAGCTTCGTTGGAAAGAGCACTTCAGTTTTCTGTTCCCTTTTGTTCCTAGGTTAATTAATTAACTTACTTTCGTACAAGTGTATTATGGGACAAAACGGAACTAAATTAAAGTGTATATTTGTTATTAAATATCATGAGTTTAATTGAGAACAACCTTAAAATATTAGAATTGTTTTTTTTTTTTTTTTATAGAATTTATAAAGTAGAAAATGCTATTTTTCACTATTTAACTGTTATTTTCCACTATTAATGAATATTTTTATTTTAACAGTTGGATTAATATCGTATAATCTATTACTGTTGATGACGGTATAAATTTTGCAATGCATGACACCAATAATAGCCATATATAATATATTGTTTCAGTTTTCTTAAAATCTGATCCGAATTATTGAAATTATCGTGCAATTTCTTTGGTTTTGGTAATAATTATGTGGGTTTTTCTTTTTATTATTCTCCTTTTTTCCTTATTCTCTTCTTATTATTCTCACTGGTTTGGTTTTCTCTCTCTCAACTTTTTACCATTGTGAAATAACTTCTGGAGAAGTACTGTAGTACTCATACTGATGAGTAAGAAACTTGTAGCACCGATATTGCATGGCTAGTAGCCCATATATAAAAATAAGCACTTAAAGTCCTCTAAAAAATATCATGGCTTTTTTCATATATCATCAGCATGCACGTACACATTAATTTCATATACGCATGATACATACGTGCGTGTATATATAAATATATATATATATATATATATAAATACATTATACAAATACACATATGTCCAAGTATGTATATATATATATATCTATATATATGCCATTTAGGTACATCCTCAATGTGTCTCCGTTTGGTTTTTTCACAAATATATTACAAATGTACTCCTCAGGTGTTTGCAAATAATTTCCCATCTCTCTCTCTCTCTCTCTCTAAAACCCTGAACAGTAATAATATTGAATTATTGAAATCTAACTTTGAAAAGAAGGAGAGATTTATCGTTTATGGGGTTTATGACACACTTCACGGCCATATATATTATTGCATGTGAATCAAACATGGGTTTCCACATCTATGTATAAGAAAAGTCTATACAATATAGGAGGAACCAGAAGTTGCAGAGAAGAAACGAATTAATGTGAAAGAAAATATAGAGAGAGAAAGTGAGTAAGAGAGAGAAAGAAAGAGTCATAGGCCTCTCTCATAGGCAGCTTAAGGACGTTTGTTTGTTTTCATGGTCAGTCACTCTCTCTCTCTCTCCTCTTCTCTCTCTTCTGCAAAAATATTATCTGATTGTGTTTTCTCTTTTTTCCTTTCTTATTTTCAATCTCTTTTTGTTACACAGTAATAGTACCTCATCCTTTCTATCTAATACAATCTCTTTCACTGGTGTGTGATACGACAGCAAATATTCATTATTTTGCTCTCTTTTTCTCTCCGTATCGCACCCTCAAAGTTACTGTGTTTTTTTATTCCTAAACTGCCCCTGCTTGATTCAACTTATTACCTTCACTATTGGACTTGATATTTGTCTCATAATGCAATGATTGATGAAAGGTAAATGACATGATATAAGCTTATTAAACCACAAGCCCACATGAAACCCTCAGCCTTTGTCTATATGATAATTGATATGGTCGGAGACTATTCTAACATGGTGTATACTTCCTAGATTCCTTCTTCATTTACTCTTGTCATATTCTTACATACAAATATATATATATATATATATATAAGAGAGTGAAGGGTTTGAAGAAGACAGGATTTGTAAATATAGTGCTTGACTATGCCTGCAATTAAGTAGAAAAATGATGCGATTTTAGCATTTCTCCTTGCATGTTAACACAACTTAAGTTCTATTGTTACTGTATTTAAAAAAAAAAAAATTAAATTTTTATTACAATGTTTCTTTCATATACACAACTCAAATTCTTAATTTAAATTGTGAAACAAATATTAATCAAGCAACCTGTTTTTCATTGGTTGTGGTAGAAGAGAAAGTCATATTTTTCTTGGGTTATTTTTTTGCAACGAAACTCATAAAAAATTTGAACTCGAGTTACAACTTTATTCAAGTTCATGTTCTTTTGTAAAATTTGAGTTTGAACTCGAGTTCAAGTTTCCCTTTCAACTTGAACTCAAGTTAATGAATAATATTTTTTCTATTCTTAAAATTGTCATAACTTTTCTCGTTTTAATTCTGATTGAGATGATTTTTTTTCTATGCATTCACAACGAAGAGACGAATAAAACCCCACCCATATACCCTATTAAAAATTTTCATCACTATTGAGTTTTTATTAAAATACTATCTAAATACAAATTTAAGTTTTGACCAATCCAAACACAAACTCAAAAAGATTCTCAATTCAAATCATAACTCAAATATGCACATCCAAACACAAACTCAAAAAGATTTTCAATTCAAATCATAACTCAAATATGCACATCCAAACACAAACTCAAGTTACAACTTCAACTTAAGTTATAACTCAAACTCAACTCAAATTATAACTAAAACTTAACTCAAGGTCATCACTCAAGTTACCCTAACTCAAAAATATAAAAGAATTGTTTTTTTTTGAAAAAATTAGGTGGCATTTTTCAAATTTTAAACGTCTACGAATTTATGTTATAATTTTTTTTTTGTGTGGTTTGAATTCATATCACGTTTTGTTGACCTTTTACTAATTCATTTGCGATAATAAATTCATGGCGTAAATCTGAAAGCGAGATTTTTTTTTTTTACATTTCTCAAAATTTCTCTTGTTCTTTTATACTGTAAGGGTAAGCGGTAAGATTAGGAAAAAAAAAAAAAAAGAAACAGAAATAATTTATTTTATTATTATTATTATTATTTTACTTTGTCCTTTCCAGTTTGTACCTTTTCTTCAGTCTCCAAACTGCTCCAACCTACTAATCAAACTAGAACTCCTCCAGCCCAATTTCCACATAAACTTTTTTTTTTTTTTTTCCTTCTTTCACTGATTACTGTCCCTTCACGAGGGCATGTTTCCTCCATGATTTTCTTCTCCAAGATATTCCTCTTTTCTATATTTCCTTATTTCTTTTGTTGGAAATAAAGAAAAAAGAATTTGTATTCTGGATTAGGTGAGACATCTTGACAAAGATGAGAAAAAAAAAGGCGGGGTTGTAGCTCCAAAATACAATCCGAAGGCTTTGAAAGAGGGTCAAGTCAGTTTTTGCCTATTCCCATTTCCCACACACATGACAAACCCACCTTCACCGCTTTGCTTTGTTTGGTTCTCAAGAAAAGAAAAGAAAAGAAAAGAAAAGAAAAGAAAAAGGGTTTGGGAATTGGGAGGGAAGAGAAGACCATCTTTCTTTCCTTCTTTCTTTCTCTTTGAAGTGATATTTGATTTGACAGTATTGTTGGTGCTGCTAGTAAACTAGGTGGTAGAGCCATTGATTTAAGACCATTCTTTTCCTCCTTCTAAATAGTGCACGTGTCATTCGATCATGTGTATATTTATGTGGGAGGAATGAAAAATACCTATAATAAGTACATAAATTATAGTTTTGAATAATATTTTGTTAAATTGATATATCCTAATTTAATACGATTCTGATTTTAAATTTATGATTCACTGTAAAACTTCTAACTATAATAAGTACTTTTTTTTTCTTTTTTCCATTTCCTACTATAAGATTCTCTCATTCATTTTATTAAAATTTCTTTGGTCGGATTTAAAAAAAAAATGAACTATTGACGAGCTTTGTTTTTCAGCTGTTAGAATTTAGATGCGTCAAAAACGATTTATTTATCATTTTTTATATGATTTTGATAAGATTCTAAGATCATAATCGTGCAATATGAAACGCTATCAATAGAAGGATCCTTATATTTTAGGGAGAAAACGAGAAATAAGTCAAGATTTGAGATAAATTAAAATTAATATGTTAATAATTTACATAAGTTAATAAATAGACTAAATTACTATTTTTGTCCATAACTTGTCTGGTTATGAACCATAACTTGACAAGTTATTAACGATTTTTATCCATAACTTGTCTAGCTATGAATCATAACTTGACAAGTTTGTTAATAACTTAACTGGTTATGAACCATAACTTGACAAGTTATGACCTATTAATTTTTATAACTAAAAATTAACCTATATACTTTCTTAAGCTTTTCATATTAACCTATTTTCTACTATTTTCGCATATTTTATTTCTAGCCCCTTTCTACATGCATGTGCATGGAAAGCTTCAAAAATATAAATAAATAAAAAATCCGAAAGAAAGAATTTTTGAACAAGTAACTTTTGGGCCAATTTCGTATTGTCTAGCCCTGCCATAACAACTTAGGTCATACATCTTTGTTTTTTTTAGGCCACGTTTATTTTATTGATTCCAGTTTAAAATTTAAATTTTTTTACAATAAAAAATTCTCAGAAATAGTCACATTTAATTTTTTTACTACAATATAAAAAAATACTAACATAAAATCACATATGAACTTAAATTAAAAATTCAAATCAACGAATTAAACGAGTCCTTAATTTTTACTATAGAATTATGTAATGAGTGGTAAAAATAAATTGGAAGAATCTGTCGTGTGTTTCAAAAATGTATAATTGCTATGAATTATTTGTGCTGCTGTGCATTCTTCA